GTCGGCTACCTGACAGATGAAAGAATTTGAAAGGTGGTGCGGAAGTCTTAGAACTTGAATCTGTTGACTAGAATTTACTCAAGAACAAGGTGGTAATTGAAGTCATACAAGCTACTTTTATATCTGCTAGAAGTAGCTATTCGGTAATATACCTGTTCAAAACTAATCGCGCTATGTTCTAACCGCTAGTGAAAAGAGCGCGACTGTTCGCGTGACTGAAACGGCCTGCTGACGTAATAATCCAGACGAGCGCTATTTGCTGACGTCATTCTACGGATGCTAATAACAGGTGTAACTCGACAATATCTATTGGAACTACTTACAGAAATGCTTAAGTATGATTTTTTCCTTGAGGCAATTTTTTTCCAACCTGGGGTCTTCACCAGGCCCCTAGATTGGTTTTGAGGCCTCCTGATGACTCAGGGGTGGCGCTCGTTTTTTGCCTGTATTTTCATGACGCCTAGTGGAAACCAAGCTTATGAGTCAGGGCAGCTTTTGAAAGTATGCCTGTTTTTTCAGCGTTCCTTAGATTTAGAGTCCTGTATGACCGTGGTGCTTTTTGCATTGGAAGATCACATCACATCACATCAGAGCTTGCAATACATAGTTAAAGCGGATCCAGCAATGATTCATATTTAAGACTTATCCTGCATCTCATTCATCCATGGCAGAATCCATGGTCGACACTTCTACATGTCCCTCCTCCACCACCTCCTTTCCCTTGTTCCTGAGCAACCTAGGTTGTGCCACGGTACTGAAAGGCTTCCTCTTTTTGTATGCCCGCCACACATCCACCACCTCGTCCCAGTTTGGCTCATAATCGAGCAGACTGATGCACATGAGATCGCTCAGCCGTGTGTCCTTCAGGCTGCCCCGCAGCCACGACTTGATGACATTCTGTCGTGAGAATCCCCGCTCACATTCCACCGTGCTCAGCGGAAGCACGGCCACGGCCACCCACAGCTTCATGAGGTTGGGGTAGGCATCTTGCCAATCTGCTGTCTTCAGCATCGCAGTGAGGCCGGCGTGGAAGCTTTTTTCGCTCTTCGGAAGTGCAGCAAGGATCGGGGTGAAGTGTGGCAACTCCCGCAGTGCTTGGTGCTTGTCAATGCCTACCACAGACGGGAAAAGAGGTCGGGGGAGTGGTGTAAGGTTATGGTGGAGACAATCAACTGAGAGAAATAGGGACAACACATGTGCAACAGTCTCAGTTATACAATGGTAGATGTCAGTGGGTTTAATGGTAACGAGTTCACCTGGAAGGATCTCGTTCCTCTGCTCCGCGTTGTACAGCCCCACCAAAGAGTGGAACCATTCCAAGCACTGCACCCTCCTTGCTTGCCGATCCCAGTCCTTCGGCCAGGCGGAAACGCAGAACAGCTTTACCCCCGCCATCTTGCGAAGATCCCCGAGGCGCTCGTTCAGGTTATTCACCATCCCTTTCGCCAGGTCCATGCAAGCCACCACGCAGTTGTCATGCTTCCCTCCCCCGGGGTACCCTTGCAGCGTGTCAATGTGAAGCTCGAATGTGAAGCTCGTGAGACTACCGTCGGAGTCCACGCCACTAACAGTGACCTCGCGAGAACCGCCGGGACCATGAAGGGTGAGGAAGTTGGTGAGATGGTCCTTCGGGCCACCCTCGAACTCATCCCCGCAGTCGACGTAGCGGCTCAGGAACAAGCTGGTGATGCGAAGGACAGACGCGTGGACGGTTAGGTAGTCCAGCTGACGGGGGGATGGGGGAAGGTCGGGGGCAAGCAAGGTAGGACAACAATATAAAGTGACGTCCACAAGTATACCACCACGCTAATGCAATTGTTATCTCACCTCGCGCTCCTGAAGGCCCTTGTTGAGGCTGTTGAGCTGCTTGAGGACGTCAGCAAGGAAGTGGACGAAGAACCAGAAGCGGTAACTGGTCGCAATTCTGTAGAGCCTGTTGTCGGGGAACTCTCTGAGCATAACCACAAGCGCAGGCAACACCGCCAGCAACCTCAAGATTGCCTCACCTCTCGACAACCATCGAATATTGTGAATACCCTGAAGCTCCAAGGTTGTCGAGAGGAACAGGTCTTGCAAGTCGAGAAAGCGCTGGTGCCACGGGCCGGATCTTCCGAAGTACTCCGCCAGCTCCTTGATGAAGTCATCCACAATTTGAAACACCGGAAGCGCCTCTGATGCTGCCTTGGCTGCCAAAGCCTCCCTGCATGGCAAAACGTGAAACCAATACATTAGTGTAGTGCAAGCAAAGTTGAAGACGACATTAACTCTTGTACTCACGATGTCATATCTTACATATGCGCAATACAGTGACACAATACAAGGTAAGGCACTTGCTGGCGCAATCGAGTAACAAGCCCACTCTTCGACCCCATCATGACAGGCGCCCCATCATTGCTGATGCTGGAGACTCGCTGGAGATCCACCCCAATGGCGTTCAGGTGGGTAAGCAGTAGGGCGAGCAGTGAAGACGCATCGGCTTTGTCCACCGTCAGCAAGGCCAGGTACTCGCACACCAGCTGGTTGTCGCGGATGAAGTGGGCGTATACGATCAAGTGCTTCCCTCGGCAGCGGTCGGTGCTGTCGTCCAGTATGAGGCCGATGTAAGGACTCGATAGAAGGTGGTGAAGCTACGTTGTTTGGAGCCAGGTTGCCGTTGCTAGTGTGAATTCGCCGAATCCGTTCCTGCACGGTTCACATGGACCAACACACACTGTAAGTCCGACGTACAACCTAAGACATTCACTAACCACACGGTCTGAATAATCAGAGAACATAGAGGGCATTAACAGAATGAAGTCCGTAGCTAAGCGATGATAATTGTATACTCACATGTTGTAGTGGGTGCCGTAGGCCTGCTGCGGGAAACCCGTCACCTTCCGCGACGCCAGGTACTGAACAAGCCGGATCCATGTCTCAGCCGGTTCGTTAGTTTTGCAGCAGAACCACAAGGCGTCCAGCAGGGCAGTGACACGCTCCCTCTCAAGGTCCCCAGCAAGGGGATGTTGATCGATGCGTTGTTGTCTGGTCGCCTGTTGCAGGAGATCGTTCTGCTTCTGCAAAGCGAGTTGGTGCTTGCCGGACCCCGCATGCCGTGTGAATGCCTGAGTCTGAGCATCGCATAGGCCTGGGCCTCGCTTGCCAGCCTTCCCAGAAAGACCTGCGTGCTCCAAGCACAGGGTGCACTTAAAGGCAGGCAAGCCAGAGTCAGTCTTTAAAATGACAAGCCACGGGAATCGCGTCGACCAACGTGTCTTAAACGTGCTGTGAGCCTCCGCATACTGCTCCTCATGACTCGTTGTCTTGGTCGACGAACTGTTTGGGGCGTCGTCAACATCGTCGGCGTCGGCAGCTTCTTCATCGGGCGGTGAGGGCTGTTTCACTTTGGGCTGACCAAATGGCAGATTGGCCTGCCAGTAGCGCCCACAAGGCCGCTGAGATACAGACGCGGGAGAGGAGTCGTAAGCGGGCTGAGTAGACGACGGCCCAGGTACAGCTGGGGGCGGGGATTCGGCAGCGGGGACTGTGCTGTCTCGACTCACACGCACGGCAGGCTTTGGGGGGACAGCCGTTGGAGAGGCGCTATCTGCGGGTTGGAACGTCAACAGACCAGGTACCGAAATTTCGGCAGCATGAACCGGAACGGGAAGACTCCAGCAGCCAGGTGGCATTGCTTGCACAGCCTCTGGGGAGGAAGCGTTCGCTGGGTGGATCGGCGGCAGTCGCGTTACTGCGGGTGGGGTATTTCTAACCGCGGGCATCGTAAGGATGCCCGCTCTTCCATTGATGGTGGTGGGTGCTACAAGGGCCTCTACTGCCCTAGGATTGCTGCGTAACGAAGATAAGCTAGACAGTAGCATGTCTAGCCCTGATCGAGCATCGGCCATAGCTGCGACATGGACGTCAGCATCGTCCTCAGGAGCCTCGTCGCCGGCGTCAGCCATGGCAACGTGGGGGGCAGTAGAGCGATCAACGTGAGAGAGACGATGGAGGGCTTCTTGCACAACAGGTGAAATTGACGCGAAAGCTAGACAACGAGTCAGTAAGAGGGGCAATTTTGCCCCACCGTAAGAATGACATCGAGAAGAAAGGGGGGCGCGATTCGACTCGAATGGACAGACGACAATGGGGCTGCATCTGGCCTTCATTCCAGAGGCCAGCGCAGTGCATGCACCTTTTGCTTCATTGTCACCCGCTTTGCATAACAGCACCAGTGTGCTGGCGCAACGGTAGGCTTTGTTACTGGCTGACGATACCACATTTGCCTTAGCACCAATTACATCGTGCAACATCGATGCCTTCAGTATACAGCTGTGCTGCAGGTTCCGTCCTAAGCCAATCACTTGTCACCGTGCAGTGAGTTGGGCAGCATATGACTCGGCTGGTCAGTAACTTGGGCGAAATTCCAGGGACCTTGACGTAATTTGCGGGAAACACGTAGGGGGGGGAGCGGGGAGCGCAAATCCCGGTATTGACAAAATCAGGACGCGTACGCATTAGAGTGTCAGAAATTTCAGGACGAGTCACATAAACCATGCGGAGTGATCAGAGTTCACTACAAAAAAACCGCTGAAAAAACAGGATGCCGAACAAAAAAAACCCTACGCAATCAGGACTGGCCCGCCATCGGGGTCTGTTTTTTTTCTGAATCAGGAAAATTTTCCTGCAATCTAGGGGCCTGGTCTTCACCCGAAACCCGAGGGCCAGACACTCGCTGCGGAATTTTCCCTAACCCTTGGTCTCATGGCCAGTGATGCTTGCAGTCTCTAGAGTCCTGGTCCAGCAGCATCCCTCTCGTTTGCGCGGGAGACAAGCCGAGACCCGCACCAATGATCTGATACCCCAATCGGGCCATCCTGATGTCGAGCATCGAATATGTGCTGCATGAGCGGCAACGAGACAAGAGCTCGATCGATCCTGGAGCTTGCACCCGGGATTTGGAGGTGAACGTGTACTCTACTATCGTCGGGTGCAGCTTGCGGAAGGCGTCAAGCATCTCCCAGGGCTCGAACCTCTGCATCAGCTATTTCTTTCATAACGTAGCTATTTTAAGGACTTGCTAATATTGAGCTTCCATTACCTTATGCAGGAACGAATCCTCCTAGGTTTGGCGTTTTTGCGGATTTTAATTGCGTTGTGGTCGCCCCGAAAAAGCGCAGTTCGTTTCGCGCTGTAGGAGCTTCGCCAGCTCAAGCCAGAATCCCACCACTGTACCTACCCTTTCCATTCGCTCTGGTTCGTACTCCCACCACACTGTACCATGCATTTTTCCAAATGAAACAAACCGAAAATGTTCCTAAAACCACTGTACCACAATGAAAGGTCATTGTTGCAGTTGTTCGTACTGGGTAAGCTGGGGTTTTCTGTGTCTATCTCGTCATTAATTGCAAAGATCATATCATCTTGACTCCGGTGTGTTTCCTTCCAATGGGCGACGAATCCTGGCCTGATTTTAGGGTTGCGCTTTCAAGGCAAGGAAGGTAACGAGCATCGGTCGGTTCAGGTCAGACCGGCGCGGAGTGCTTCGGGCGACAGCGGCGCGAAGATTGTGGCGGATATTTTGGCGGAGAAGGAGAGTGCGGGTTATGGCCGGGAAAGAAGAGAGCGGAGCGAGATCCGCGGAAGGTAACGAGGGACGGAGGCGGCGCGGTCGCGGGGAGAAGGACAGGGAGCGAGATAGGGAGAGAGAGAGGGAGAAGGAGAGGGAGAAGGAGAGGGAGAAGGAGAAGGAGAAGGAGAAGGAGAAGGAGAAGGAGAAGGAGAAGGAGAGGGAGAAAGGGCGCGATCGGGAACGTGAGAGGGAAAAGGACAGAGATCGAGAAAGGGATCGCGATCGGGGCCGAGAGAGGGATCGCGATCGGGATCGGGATCGAGATAGGGATAGGGATCAGGAGAAAGAGAGGGAGAAGGAGCGGGGGGGAAGAGACATTGAGAGCGATTGGGGCGAGCAGGATGTGGAGGGGAAGGAGAAAGGGAGGGAGAGAGAGCAGGAGCGCGAGCACGGGAGGGAGCGACGGCGAGAGAGGGATACTAGAGACGGCAGGGATGGGAGGGATGGGAGGGATGGGAGGGATGGGAAGGATGGGAGGGATGGGAAGGATGGGAGGGATGGGAAGGATGGGAGGGATGGGAAGGTTGGGAGGGATGGAGGGGAGCATGGGAGAGAGGTGGATAGGGATAGGGAGGTGGAAGGAAGCACGGAGGGGGAGCAGGTGAAGGAAGGGAGGAGGGAGAGCGCGAGGGAAAGGGGCCGAGAGCGCGAGAAAGGCAGTGGAGGCGAGGAGAGGGAGAAGGAGAAGGAGAAGGAGAAGGAGAAGGAGAGGGAGAAGGAGAAGGAGAGGGAGCAGAAGCGGCGGGAGAGGAGAGGGAGGGAGAGGGTGAAGGCGGAGAGTGAGGATGAGAAGGAGAAAGGGTGGGAGAGGGAAGGGCAGGAGAAAGGGAGAAGGAGGAAGGAGGAGAGTGGGAGAGGGGAGAAGCAAGAGAAGGAGAAGGTAGAGGAGAGGCGAGGAGGGGGGGGAGGAGGGGGAGGAGGAGGAGGAGGAGGAGGAGGAGGAGGAGGAGGAGGAGGAGGAGGAGGAGGAGGAGGAGGAGGAGGAGGAGGAGGAGGAGCAGGTGGCCCACCATACGACAAGGACGAGAAAGTTCTGGCGTTCCATGGGAAATTGCTGTATGAGGCTAAGGTGCGTCGCCACGGCTAAGGTGCGTTGCGAGGCTCGTTGGTGGAGGCTCGTTGGTGGCGAGTATTTTCCCCTCCGATTCGCGTTTGATTCCGTCAGTCGGATGCAGTCGTCGCTGGCCCGTTGGGCTGATCCTGAGAAAGTTCCTGAGAGCCGTTGCCTTGCCTTGCCTTGCCTTGCCACCGCCTTTGTTCTCGTCCCAAACGCGTTGCTCGGAAAGAGCATCACGCTCAGTAGCTGTGCCGTCCTTTCTCCTCCCACTGCCCGCGCTTCACTCTGCAAGTGACCTCACACGCAGCTCCACTCCGCTCAACCGCTGCTGCCTCCGCTCCCTCCCCCCACCCCTCAACCGCGTTGTTATAAAAGCGCATCGCGCACTGCACCTCTGAAAGTCGCCTCAAAGGCACCTGTACTCCGCTCAACCGCTGCTCGCCTCTCTCACATCCTCTCTCCCCTCCTCTCTCCCCCCCACCTCTTCCTCCCTCCCTCCCACCCGTGGCTCCATGGCAGGTGCTGAAGCTGGAGAAGGACGAGGCTGGCGACTGGTCCTTCTTCATCCACTACACTGTACGCCGCCCGCCCCTCCGCCCGCCCCTCCTCCCACCCCTCCACCCGCCCCTCCGCCCGCCCCTCCTCCCGCCCCTCCTCCCGCCCCTCCTCCCGCCCCTCCTCCCGCCCCTCCACCCGCCCCTCCACCCGCCCCTCCTCCCGCCCCTCCTCCCGCCCCTCCTCCCGCCCCTCCTCCCGCCCCTCCCTCCCTTCTTCCACTCCTCCCTCCCTCCCTCCCTCCTGCCATCGTCCGCTGTGCTTCCTCCCGAATGCGCCCCCCCCCAGCATCCTCTGCGTCCTGCTCTCACTCCATACATTACCTGCTCGCCTGCTCGCGTCGTTCCGTCCTTCCTTCCTTCCTTCCTTCCTTCCTTCCTTCCTTCCTTGCTCACTTGCTTGTTTACTTGCTTTCTTCCATAGGTGTTAAAATCCGAGCTTTCAACCCCCCCTCGTCAGCGGCACTATGCATCCACATGCACGTTCATTCCCACCCTCATCACTCTCACCCCACCCACCATCCCTCACCCCACTCCTCTTTCCCCCGACCCCCTCCCTCCCCACCCCCTCTCCTCCCACCCACCCTCCCACCCGCCCACCCACCCAACCTTCTTCTTTCCGGTGTCCCCGCCTCCCCCTGTTCTGCGCACGGACCCGCGTCGGTCTCTCCCCGGCCTCTTTCCGTGTGCGGGTGTGTGGGCACGCCTGTGTGCCACGCCCTATGTTCTCCCGCAACTGCAACACGTGCCCTCGCAACAGGGATGGAAGAAGAGGTCACTTTCCGCCACTGCCCGCTCCTCAACCCCTTCTCTCACTCCTCATGCCCTCTTCTTCAATCCTCCCCCCCCCCACTCCCCCTCCTCTTCCCTCTCCCCCCCGCCGCCCCCCTCCTCGTCACCCCTCTGCCCCTCTCGCTCCTTCCCCCCCTCCATTGCGCTCTCGCTCGTTCCCCCCTCCAGAGGTGACTTTTGAGTCGACTCAAAAGTCCCCTCTCGCTCGTTCCCCCCCTCCATTGCTCTCTCGCTTGGGTCTGTGCGCTCTCTTCTGTACGTTGTAACTAGCGAAGGCCTAGTGTCCCCGGCCTCCTGACCCCTGCTTTGTTGTTATCCGCCGATTCCTATGTCTCATTCCCTTCTTGCGTCCTGCCCCCGTTCCTCGCCTTCACAACCACCTGTCTTTCTCTCTCCCTTGTGTGTGTGTGTGTGTGTGTGTGCGTGCGTGCGTGTTTGTGTGTGTGTGTGTGTGTGTTTGTGTGTGTGTGTGTGTGTGTGTGTGTGTGGGCGCGCGTGCGTGTGTGCATGCATGCATGTGTGTGGATGGTGTGTGCGCGTGTGTGCATCTTTCTGTGAATCTGACACACACCCCCCCCCCACACTCACACCCGCCCCCCCCTCCCCTTGCCCATCACTCGCTGCAGCTGGGACGAGTGGGTGGGCACGGTGCGGCTGCTGAAGGACACGGAGGAGAACCAGCGCCGCAAGCAACAGCTGAAGCAGGAGGCGCAGGGGGGCGGCGCCAGGAAGGAGAGGACGCCTGCCAAGCCCAAGGTCACCTCGCCAGGTGGGTGCTGGGGAAAGGGAAGAAGGGGAGGCAAGGGAGTGAGGAGGGAACAGGGGGAGACACGAGAGCGAGGAGGCAATATGGGGAGACAATGGAGCGAGGAGGGAATCGGGGGAGGATGGGGGTCATTTGAGGATAGGTGCAGCACCTGAAGCTGAAGTAGGAGGTGCAGGGCATTCAACTTTGGAAAAGACGCCTGCTGAGACCAAGGTCACCTCGCCAGGTGCGTGCGGGGATGGGAAGAGAGGGAAAGGGAGGGAGGAGAGGCAGTGGTGGGGGGAGGGCTAGGGGAAAGGGAGAGAATGGGGCGAGGGGGTACGGAGGGGGGGGGGGGTGGGGAGCTGGTTTAAGAACGGAGCAAAGGAGGGGGGAAGAGAATAGAGTGAAGGGGTATTGGAATGGGGGAAGCGATTAACGAAGAGGCCTCGAAGTGATAGGGAAGTGAGTGAGTAGCTGAAAGGTTACCCTTGTCTTGACTGACTGCCCTGCCCCCATCCTGCTTTCTCTCCTGTGTCTCCCGTGTCTCCCGTGTTTCTATCCACCACCCTGCTCCGCACTCTCCCTTCCAGACGTACATGGGTCAGGAGGCAAGGGCCGCAAGAGAAAGGCACCAGATGTACGTTCCACCATCCCGCTTGCCCCTCTCTCCCTCTCCCCCTCACGCCCTCCCCCACTCTTCCCCCCTCCCCTAGATCCCCACCCTCCCACCCCCCTCCCACCCATCCCCCTCCCAACCCACCAACCCACCCACCTGCGCCCTCCTATTTCTCTCGTTCCGATTTTTGAGGCGCCTCAAAACGAAAGTCGTCTCGTTCCCTCCTCCCAGTCTCACTGGCTGGCTGCTTTTTTCCATCCACCTCTCATAGCAATGGCTTCCGCTTTCGTGTTTTAATCTAACCAGCAGGCCAGTAGATTTAGAAAGAGTAGGACCTGCCAATGGCCTTGTGAGTGTCGAAACGACACTCTTGTTGAGTGCGCGTCGATTGGAGTGAGGGCCAGAGGCGGCGACTCTTTTTCTGTGTCTCCAGCTCTCCAGCTTTCCAGCTCCACAGCTCTCTGGCTCTCCAGCTCTCCAGCTCGCATTCCGTTACTGCTGAGTTGAGATGACCCCTATTTTTGGTCGGCTCTAAACGCATCTCTCCAGCTCTCAGCCCATTACTGTCGTCTGCCTTTCCCTCAGCTCTTCACTGCACTCGCCGCACACTCAACGGAACTCTCCACCCCATCCCTCCCCCCCCATCCCTCCGCTCACTCTCCGTCCTCCCCCCCCATCCCCCCTTCCCTCACCTTGGGCTCTTCTGCCTCTCCCCTCCAGACCACCCCTGGTTCCACTAGCCGCCGAACCGGCGCCTCTCCTGCTGCTGCTGCCGCCGCTGCTGCCAGCCCTCCTGCTGCTTCTAGTCGCGGTGCTGCTGGTGGTGGTGGGTTGGGGAGTAGTGGGGGAGGGAGACGAAAGAGAAGGGCAGCAGGGCGAGTAGAAGGGGAGGGGGAGGAGGGGGAAGGAAGGGATGAGGAGGAGGACGACGAGGAGGAGGACGAGGAGGACGAGGAGGAAGAGGAGGAGGAAGAGGAGGGAGAGAGTGGGGGCCGAAGCAGTAGGAGCAGTGACGAGGAGGAGGAAGAGGAAGAGGAAGAGGAGGAAGTGGAAGAAGAGGAGGAAGAGGAGGAGGAGGGACGTGGGGGGGAGCGGGGACGGGGTAGGGGAGGGGGGAGCCGGGGGGAAAGGGGCAGCGAGCGGGGGAGGGGAGGGAGAGGCGGAGGTGCAGCAGCAGGCGTGGCCGCCAGGAGCGGTGCTGCTGGCGCTGGTGGGGGGGGCGGAGGCGGAGCAGGAGGAGAGGGAGAAGGAGGAGGAAGAGCAGGAGGAGGCGGAGCAGGAGGAGGGGGAGGGGGAGGGGCAGGAGTGGGGGGAAGCGGTGGGGCGCAGAAGGGCGGTGGTGGTGGCGGTGGTGGAGGAGGGGTGTGCGACGTGGATCTGGCGCTGTTCATCCCGAACGCGCTCAAGAAGCAGCTGCTGGAGGATGAGGACCTGGTGGTGCGCCAGAGGAAGGTGGGTGGGTGGGCGGGTCGGTTGGTGTGCTGGTCAGTGAGTCCGTGAGTGAGTTAGAGAGTTGCGAAATACGCGTTGGTCTGGAGAAAAGCTCCCTGCTGCCCGCCTGTCCTTGGTAGTGCTCTGTCTGCTGCCCGCCCTGCCGAGCTACGCGCTGGAGGGAGAGAGGGTGGCGGGACCTTTTTGTGCGAGAGAGGAAGGTGAGTCAGTCAGCCAGTCAGCCAGCCAGTCAGCCAGTCAGCCAGCCAGTCAGCCAGTCAGCCAGCCAGTCAGCTAGTCAGCCAGCCAGTCAGCCAGTCAGCCAGCCAGTCAGCCAGTCAGCCAGCCAGTCAGCCAGTCAGCCAGCCAGTCAGCCAGCTAAGTGGAGAAATACGCTTGGGCAGCCTAGCGTATTGCGTACATACGCTAGCGTATAATACGAATACGCTGTACGCTAGCTAAGTACGCAATACGCTAGCGTATTTCTTGGCGGGCAGCCCGGCAAGAAATACGCAAAAAACGATGCGACAAATTTGCGACATGACGAAACCCCACAGGGATTTCGCCATGTCGCAAACCGAAATTTGGCTTTTCAAATCGTCAACCCAACCCCTTCGCCCCTCCCAACCACACAGCATCCCACCCAATCTGCGACTTCCAAACAACACCCAAAGAAATCTCATTCCTCTCCCTCTCTACTCTACTCCAGCAGGGTTCAGCGCAGTTCACTCCTACGACGAAATCAGGGTACAAGTAAACTGGCGCGCTAACTTCAGTCATTTCTTCTTCCAAGCTAGCGCGACTAGCTAGCTGGTTTTTTAGCGACTGTTGCTATGTCGAACCCTCCACCTAGTCCTGGTTCCCACGGAACCGACGCGGGAACCTCCTGTGCTGCGTCTTCCTCTGACGAGCTCCTGGAGAACTCCACCCACGCTATCTTTAAGCATTTCAAGTTTAAGCATAAGGAGCACGGCAAGCAGCAAAAGTATTGGTGCAAGTACTGCCCCGTATCCTTTACCGGGACGGCCTACCGCTGCGCACAGCACATCACTAGTTGGGATGGTATGCGCAGGCGCGAGGTTCGGAAATGCGAGGAGGTAGGGAAGGAGGAGCAGGCTGCCGTCCGCGCGTTCCAAACCGCCAAAGTGCTCGCGAGGGAGGAGGCGCATAGGGCGGAGGAGTCGGCCATCGACGCCGTTAGTGGTCGAGGAAAGCGGAAGATCACCGATTACCTGTCCGATGACGCCCAAGTAGGCTTGAGCAAAACCGGGTAATTACCCGACCCGACCCGGTTTTGCAATACCCGACCTCGGGTCGGGTAATTTCGGGTCGGGTCCGGGTCGGGTAATATGCCCAGGACCCTTACCCGGACCCGGCCTTAAGCAGCGGGTAATACAATACCCGCCTGGCGGGTCCGGGTATACCCGACCCGGTGACCCTGAAAAGCGGGTAATACTACCCGCCACCTACTAGTGGACATCCTAAAGTTGGGCTAGGCTAGGTAGGGTTCCTTGAAACGCGACTCTCAAATGAGAGTCGCGTTTCCTGGGGGTCGAATTTTGACTGCCCAACTCCCTCCCTTTCACCGCACTGAACTCCTCCCCCTCTACAAACTCCAATTTCCAACCAAACTCCCTCCCTTTCACCGCACTGAACTCCTCCCTGTCAACGAACTCCAACATTTCCAACAGAACTCCCTCCCTTTCACCGCACTGAACCCCTACCCATATACAAACTCCAACCTCTTCTCCAACTCCCACCCAACTCCCTCCCTTTCACCGCACTGAACTCCTCCCCGTCTACAAACTCCAATTTCCAGTCAAACTCCCTCCCTTTCACCGCACTGAACTCCTCCCTGTCTACAAACTCCAACATTTCCAACAAAACTCCCTCCCTTTCACCGCACTGAACTCCTACCCATCTACAAACTCCAACCTCTTCTCCAACTCCCACCCAACTCCCTCCCTTTCACCGCACTTAACTCCTCCCCATCTACAAACTCCAACTTCTCACAAATGCTCCACTCGTCCCCCCTCACCTCCAAAACCGTTTTTGTCGCAAAACCTAAAACACAGCGCGACTTACGCTCATGTCTAGGTGGAATACCCGACCTCGGGTAATTTTTTACCCGACCGGGTCGGGTACCCGCTACCCGACACGTCGGGTAGCATTTCGGGTAGCGGGTATTGATACCCGGCCCGGGTAACCCGAACCCGACCCGCCGGGTAATTTTCAGGATTTCCAATACCCGACCCGCCCTAAAAGCGGGTCCGGGTACCGGGTACCCGACCCGGGCGGGTAGTTTGCTCAACCCTACGCCCAAGCTGCCAAGGCGGCGGCGGACGAGGCTATTTGCCTCCTCTTTGCCGGCCTCCGCCTTCCCGAGCGCCATGCCGACCACCCGCTTTGGCGCAACGCCGTCCGGTCCATCGCGCGCGCGGGGACCAGTTATGTGCCTCCAAAGCGCGACTACGTGGGTGGTGCCGGCTTGCAGCTATGCCGCAAGCGGATTGACGAGGGATTGACGGGCGTCATGGCGAGCTGGAAGCGCCACGGCGTGACGATTGCCAGCGACATGATGACCGACAAGTGTGGCAGGCCGCAGGCGAATGTGATGCTGGTCAATGACACCGGCGCAGTGTTCGTCGAGAGTATTGACTGCAAGATGGAGAAAAAGACCGGGGGATACATCGCCCGGCTCCTCCGGCCCATCCTGCAAAAGGTTGGGGTCGAGAACATCGTGGCATTCTGCACCGATGGCGGCAGCAACTACCACAGCGCCTGCCGGCTCCTCATTGCAGAGAATCCGCGCATCGAGCATGTGCCGTGTGCGACGCACGTGCTCGACCTCCTTATGGAGGATGTGAGACGGCAGGCTTGGGCCAAGGAGGTAGTGGGGCGGGCGAGCGAGCTCATCAACTACACCCGCAGCCACCATTGGACCCGACAGTATCTCAGGGGTGTGGACGGAGGGAAGGGGCTGCAGATGCTGAGGCCGGCGGGGACCAGGTTTGGGACGCAGCACATTGCTGTGTCCCGCCTGGTGGAGTTGCGGTCAACGCTGGTGAGCATGGTGCTCTGCGATGCATGGAAGGCGGAGTGGGCGGTGGGCCCAAAGAAGGCAGCTGCAGAGACATTCCACGACCAGATCATGGATAAGGACTGGTGGCCAGCGGCTGAGCTCTTCAAGAGGCTGCTCCTGCTCCCGTTCAAGGCCATGAGGGCGACGGATTCGGCAACGAAATGGATGATGGGCCGCATCTATGAGCTGATGCTTGAGCTCACTGTGAATGTGGTAGAACTGCTGAAGGAGGAGGGGGATGGGGTGCTGAGTGCGGGAGACAAGAAGGGCGTCAATGAGATTGTGAAGCGGCGTTGGGATGAGAGTATGGCTTGCCCACTGCACGTGGTCGGGCGGATTCTTAACCCGGTCAACCAGGAGGAGCGGATTTTTGGGCCGGACACGGAGTGCACCAATGTGTTCAAAGCTTTCATTGCCCGCCACTATGGCGGGGTGATGATTCCCCAGAGGGATGGCCTGCCCAAGCGTGCCACACTCCTCCTGCAGGAAGGGTTGGCCGCCTTTCTGAAGTTGAGGGGCAGCTTCGGCACGGCTGAGGCCATCAGTGACCGGAAGTTGGTGAAGGAAGGAAGTTATTCCATGGAGGCGTGGTGGGAGTGGCACGGCACTGACCACCCCTTGCTCATGGCCCTTGCTTGCCGAGTGCTAACTCAGCCGGTGTCTGCATCCAGCTGCGAGCGCAACTGGGCGGTGTGGGATACTGTCCACACCGCCCGACGCAACCGGCTGGGTTCAGAAAAGTGCAAGGATCTGGTTTACGTTGCGCACAACTGGAAGGTTGTGCACAACTGGCACATGGCCGACGAGGGGGCGGGGGTGGTGTCCGGTAACATCCCGGACGCCCCCGTCCCTGCGGGGTACAGGGTGGATCGGGAGGAGGAGGATGAGGAGGGCGAAGATGAGGAGCTGCTGGACGAGTACCTGTAGAGCAGAGCAGGAGAGGGTTAGGCGGGCGGTTTGGGGGAGGCTTACCTGAGATGGGTGGTTGGCTGGTTGTTGGAGTTTGGAACCCTTGACATGCCCTTGGTGGCTTGAACTATTTATTTATTACCATGCTAAATGATGCCACATTTGGTGGGGGGAATTTGGTGCTCTGAAACCCCCCTCTTCCCTCCCCAAACAGGTTTTTTTTACCCCTGCCCGAGTTGTTTTTATACCTGCCCGCCAGAGCGTATTTCCTAGCGTATCCAATCCCATAATGAAGCGTACAGCGTATATACGCTAGCGTATAATACGCTGGATGCGTATTTCTCCACTTAGTCAGCCAGTCAGCCAGCCAGTCAGCCAGTCAGCCAGCCAGTCAGCCAGCCAGTCAGCCAGTCGGTACGGTAACATAGCACTCTGCTGCCAGCCCGATTCACGTGTTGGAGGGTGTGCCAGGATTGAGTCAGGACCTTGCTGGTAGTACCCTGGCAGAGCAGCCGTGCGTAGCTCTCTAATAATGTGAAGCACCCCTAACGTTGCACACCATCATCTGCACCCGTTTGCTTTGCACTACTGCTCCGCCACTAACCTGTATGGTTTGTTGTGCAAATGGTATTCTGTCCCTTGCTTGTGCCGTTTCCTTTTCCGTTTCCTTTTCTTCTCCCTTGTCCCTTTCCTTCTGCAGCTATTCGGTCGTGTCTTCTTGCCCTCCATTCCCCCCCCACACGCACCTTTACCTCCCCTCTTATTCCTCCCATCTCCCCAAACCTGATGCCTCCCAGCTCATGCTGCTGCTGTACATGCCCTTCGTGACTGGTCTCCTGGCAGACCTTCAAACATTAAGCCCTCCTCTTTCTCCTTGATCCCTCCTCCCCTCCCCCCCCCAACTCTCTCCTCCCCCCCGCCCCTCTCCACCTGTGGCGTCTGTGCCCCCAGCTGGTGCCGCTACCGTGCAAGCCCTCGGTGGCTGAGCTCCTGGCGGACTTCATCAGCTCCAAGCGCACCAAGCGGTCAGTGCGCTCCTGCCGCTGCTGCCGCTGCTGCCGCTGCTGCCCCTGCTGCTCCTGCTGCTCCTGCTGCCCCTGCTGCCGCTGCTGCCGCTGCTGCCGCTGCTGCCGCTGCTGCCGCTGCTGCCGCTGCTGCCGCTGCTGCCGCTGCTGCCGCTGCTGCCGCTGCTGCCGCTGCTGCCGCTGCTGCCGCTGCTGCCGCTGCTGCCGCTGCTGCCGCTGCTGCCGCCGCTGCCCCTGCTGCCCCTGCTGCCCCTGCTGCCCCTGCTGCCCCTGCTGCCCCTGCTGCCCCTGCTGCCCCTGCTGCCCCTGCTGCCCCTGCTGCCCCTGCTGCTCCTGCTGCCGCTGCTGCCGCTGCTGCCGCTGCTGCCGCTGCTGCCGCTGCTGCCCTGCTGCCCCTGCTGCCATGCTGCCCCTGCTGCTCCTGCTGCCGCTGCTGCCGCTGCTGCCGCTGCTGCCGCTACTGCCGCTGCTGCCGCTGCTGCTGCTGCTGCCGCTGCTGCCGCTGCTGCCGCTGCTGGCCCTGCTGGCCCTGCTGCTCCTGCTGCTCCTGCTGCCCCTGCTGCCGCTCCTGCCGCTGCTGCCGCTGCTGCCCCTGCTGCCCCTGCTGCCCCTGCTGCCCCTGCTGCTCCTGCTGCTGCTGCTGCCCCTGCTGCTGCTGCTGCTGCTGCTGCCCCTGCTGCCCCTTCTGCTGCTGCTTCTCCTTGCTGCTGTTTTCTGCCACAGCTCGTCTCCTGCTCCTGCCCCTCGTTGCCATGGCAGTGCGCTCCTGCCCCTGCTGCTCCTGCACCCAGTCCTCTCCTTCCCACTACCAGTCCTCTCGCCTCCTCTCCACACCCCACATCGTGATCACTCAGCTGTGTTGACAGTAGCTCAAAGTCTGTAGCTCAGCTCATCGCACCACCAGAGCTCCTTCAGTGTGATGATATTCTTGTTTTGAGAGTGTTTTTGAGACATTTTGAAACGAGATCAGGGCCTTGGCGTGGTACGGTACCTTGGCGTTCGAACTTTGCTGAGTTGGAACTCAGGCGAGTGGTACAGTGGTTTTGATAACGGTTTTTGGCGCAGAGCATTTAAACACTCGCGTGGTACTGTGTGGTGGAAGTTCAGATGGAGGCTGTTCGAAATCTAAGGTACCCCGCCCTTATTATCACACCTGTCGACAGCTCAGCTCATCGCATCACCATGGCCCCTTCAACTTCTGCAGCTGCTCATAAAATCACCTCTTCTGCCACCTCCCTCCCCTATTGCCTCCGTCTCTCCCCCCCCTCCCCTCCTCTCCTCCTCTTCCCCCTTCTTTCCCCCCGTCCCCCACACGCCAGGCGTGTGAAGGGCATGGCGGAGGTGCTGAACGGCCTCCTCTGCTACTTTGGCCGCTCGCTGCCACTCATGCAATTATCTTCCCCCCCCTCCACACGTCAGCATCTCCCCCCATCCTCCCCAACCCCCGTCATGCCCTGCAGGCGTGTGAAGGGCATGGCGGAGGTGGTGAACGGCATCCGGTGCTACTTTGACCGCTCGCTGCCGCTCATGCTGCTGTACAAGGAGGAGAGGGAGCAGTTCCAGTGCGTCTTCGCCCGCATGTCCGCTGCTGCTGGTTCTGGCGGTGCTGCTGGTGGGGCTGGTGGAACTGGTGGTGGTGGTGGCGCAGCAGCAGGAGGGGGCAGAGGAGGTGGTAGTGGTGATGGTGGTGGGGGGGGTGGTGGAGGAGGAGAGGGGACAAGGGGGGGAGCTGGAGCGGGAGGGGGAGGGGGAGGGGAAGGGGCGAGAGGAGAGGGGGGTGGAGTGTCAGAGTCTACTGCTGCGCCTTCGACAGTGCGGCCGTCAGACATATACGGGGCAGAGCACCTGCTCCGGCTATTCAGTAAGGCCTGACAGGCTGACACCCATGGGGTGACAGAACTTGGGCCTCCAGTGGTCCGCTTGTTTTAATCTCTCTTTGAAGCGTATACACTGACTTGGTGCTCGGAGCACCACCAAGCCCAACCCTCTGGACACCTGTAGGTGTGTCACCCATGGGTGGAGCTCACTTAGTCCCCCTTCGCCCATGGAAAGAGTTCCATTCTCGCCTTTAGAAGACTTCATGCCGCCCGTGCTTCATCCCTCCACCCCCTCCACCCTCTCTACCCCTTTGCTTCGTCCCTGCCTGTTGCCCTTGGTGCCGCTCCTGCCACCAGCCAAGCTCCCTGCCATGCTGGCCACAGTGTACTTTGAGCAGGCGGCGCTGCGCCAGCAATCAACCATGACCCCCCTGCACCCTACTTTCTCTTCCCTGCCTGCATTCTTCATTCCACTCCCCCTCCCACCGCCAACCAAGCTGTTCCCCATGCTGGCCACATTGTGCTTTGTGCAGGAGGCCCTGCGCCAGCTGTTCCAGCCATCAGTGACTTCCCCCACCTCCACCCCACAATCTCTTCCCTGCATGCGTCTTCCCAATTCCAATCCCAATCCCAATCCCAATCCCGCTCCCACTCCCACTCCCACTCCCCCTCCCACTCCCCCTCGCACCACCAGCCAAGCTCCCTGCCATGCTGGCCACGGTGTATTTCGAGCAGGAGGCGCTGCACCAGCTGTTCCAAAACTTCAACATCATTCTCAAGTCAGTGTGCCCTCTCCGCTCTCACTCGTGGTATTGAGGTGAATTTTGGAGATGAGGTGATTTTGGAGTCGACCTCATATTCAGCATTATTCAACATCATTCAACATCATTCAACATCATTCAACATCATTCAACATCATTCAACATCGTTCAAATCACGCCCCTTGTTCACTTGCAGTTTGCTTCAACACATGCCAGTACGTCTCTTTCTGGCTCCATGTCTTAGTTTCTATTTTTCAGTATCCCCTGTCTCGTGTGTCTGCCCACTGTTACCCCTCATCCCCCACTCTTACCCCTCGTACGCCACTCTCAAATCCTGGGTGCAAGTATGGCTGTTTTTATTTTGAGTGGTATCTCATGCACATCTACCTGTCCGTGCATGTCCGCCTCATCCTGTCAGGTACCTCCAGAGGAACAGGGCAACCATTTTTGCATCCACTTACGTGGATGCAGCAACGGCGCTTCAGGCTCCCTCAGAAAACCCACAATGATAGTCGTGGACTTCCAAAGACTTCGTAGCTTCTGCCTTCTTCCTGTTAGTGGAGCACCAAAATGGAGGGTTTTGATTGACGTGGTTGCACTGCACATGTAATCGCAGGCTGGTTTCAATGAATCCAGTGTACGGTAAATAATAGTAAACCTATTATACATGCAAGGGCGTTCGCTGGCTTCGAATTCAGAATTGCTTGCAGCTCAGTTACCCCCACCTGGGTGTAATAGGTACCTGCTGTGAGGGACACTCTTTGTCACTGCATACCACCACCTGATGTTGTGGTGGGATTTTCTAATATGCATATAGGAGATGAAACGTGCCCAACGTGGTGTGGTGTGGTGTTGTGGTGTGTGTGGGGTTTTTGTGCTTGTGACGTGGAAGTGTAGTGTAACATGATTCTTTCTGGTGGTTATCTCTTCTTCCAAGAACCCTTTCGTTAAACCTCCCATTCCTCCACCTTCGTTTCAGTCACACATGTTCCGTGCCCAATCAGAAGCCTCCTGGCTAATCCATCCGCTTTTCCGCTTCCCCCGCATCGCGCCCGTCTTCCCCGTCCACTCCACTCCTCCCCTCCCTCACGCGCGCCTTTTCTCTCCAACGCCCCTCTCGCACAAAAACCTCCGTACAGAACAGCCCCCTGCTTCCCGTGACCTTCGCCCCCTCCCCTGTACTCTCAAGCGTTCAGTACAAAATAAGTTTCACCCCCCCCCCCCACCCCAACCCCCCCTCCCCCCAAACCCCCCTGTTAGCCCCCCCTGGGCGCACAAGGCTACAGTAAACAGTATAAATTAGCCCCTTCGTGCTCCCCTCCTCCATGCATTCCTCGCATCATGTTCACATTCTTTCACTTGACACATCCTCTTGCGCCATCTGCTGCGATTCTGCTCACTTCAATCGGAGTCTTTTTGTTGCTGCTGCTCTGCTTCGCTTTCCCCGTGCTCTCTTCGCTTCTTTTTTTCCGAGCAGATTTTGGTGAAGGCAGACCAACAGCACTAGGAGCGACTTATTTCGAGAGAGAGCGAGGAAAAAACATCTGGACTGGACTAGTAGTTTTGAGGTCATGTCGCAACGAATCCACTCCAGTCGTCGGCACTTCGCTCCAACCGTGACCCCTTCTCCTTCCGTTACCGTTACCGTTACCGTTACCCTTACCAGTTCCGTGCTTTAAAGGGCTGATGTAGCGGTCAGCGAGCTGCTCATGGCAGCGCTTTCAGCACGGTCAGCGTGTCATGGCAACGAGAGCTGGTGCAGCAGGAGAGGCAGTCGCACCAGTCATTGCAGGTGGAGACACAGTCGCACCAGTCGCACCAGTCACAGCGGTCGCAGAAGTTGGAGCGATGGACTCATCATTTGCATCAGATATGGAGTCGGCAGCATTTGCCGCTGCAGCAGCAGAGGACGGGAGTGTGGCTGTCGGTTCCATGGGCAAAGCAGCGTCGTCTGGAGCGATGGAGATGGATTCGCTTTCAGCATCGGATATGGCGTCGACAGCAGTAGCAGCGGTTGTCGGCGCTGCAGCAGAGGAAGACGAGGCAAGTGCAGGATCCATAGGCGCAACAGCGTCAGTTGGAGCGATAAACTCGCCGCCTGCATCGGATATGGGATCGACAGCAGCGGTTGTCAGCGCTGCAGCAGCGGACGACGAAGCAAGTGCAGGATCCATGGGCGAAGCAGCATCGATTGGAGCGATGGACGCGCCGATTGCATCAGCAGTGGGGCCGACTGCAGGTGTCGCTTCTACAGAAGAAGGAGGAGGAGGAGGAGGAGGAGGAGGAGGAGGAGGAGGAGGAGGAGGAGGAGGAGGAGGAGGAGGAGGAGGAGGAGGAGGAGGGGGGGAGGGGGGGAAGAGGTGGAGGGGGTAATTGGAGGTCGTGTGGGCAAAGCAGCGTTAAACGTACATGCAGGAGAGACGCGGGCAGGGAAATTGCAGGCGGAAGAGACACGGGCAGCAGGAGTGAGGGTAAGAGGAGCGTCAGAGCTAACGGTTGTGCTACGGACGGCAGGCAGGGGTGAACGGACGGCAGGCAGTGGTGAACGGATGGCAGGCAGTGGTGAACGGACGGCAGGGAGTGGTGAGCGGACGGCAGGCAGTGGTGAGCGGACGGCAGGCAGTGGTGAGCGGACAGCAGGCAGTGGTGAGCGGACGGCAGGCAGTGGTGAGCGGACGGCAGGCAGTGGTGAACGGACGGCAGGCAGTGGTGAGCGGACGGCAGGCAGTGGTGAACGGACGGCAGGCAGTGGTGAGCGGACAGCACGACGTGATAACGTGGAGGTTCTTGCCCTTTCCTCTGCCCTCCAGGCTATCCCCGAGCCCCGCACCCAGTCTCCCTTTCTCGTGGGTGCTTGCCACTCTGACGAACAAGTCATGCAACCTCTGCTGCACCAGCACCAGCAGCAGCACCAGCACCAGGACCAGGGGGAGCACCAGGAGGAGGTGGAGGAGGAGGAGGATAAGAAGAATCAGGAGAATGAGGAAGAAGAGGAGGAAAAGGAGGAGGAGAAGCAGCAGCAGGTGCGTGTCCGGATAGGACTGATAGTGGAGTATGTGGGGAGGGATTTGCCTGTTGCTCGGCCACCTCTCAAGCCCGGCAGAGCTTCCTCTCCCCAAAAAAGGGGCTCCAGCAGCAGCAGCAGTAGCAGCAGTACTACTCGTGCCACATGCTCGAGTATTGTTGCCGGTAGATCCAATAACAGGAACGTTTTGGTAACCACTAGAACTACCACCGCCACTAGTGCAGCTGACACCGCTGCTGTTAACAGCACTGGCAGCTCGAGTGCCCCTTGTACATACTCAACAGCACCTGGTGCAGCAGCTACTGTACAGAGTCGACACCATGTATCCTCCCCAGATCCTCCTTCTCTTTCCCCCTCGCCCTCCTCCTCCTCTCCTTCCACTCCTCCTTCCTCCTCATCCTCCTCCTCCTCCTCTCTCTGGCGCCTCCCGTTCGCTCGCGGTCGCAAGCTTTTATCCAAGTTCCCATTGCTTTTCTCCTCTCCCATTACCTCCTCCTCTTCCTCTGACTCCTCCACTTCCTCCCTTCCCGCCTCCCCCCTAACTTTGCCGCCGCCTCACTCTCCTCTCCTCTGCACCCACAACCCAGCTCTTTCGACAACCCCCAGCGGTGCTGCCACTGCCGCAGCCACTGCAGCCATTGCTTTCCGCAGGCACTGCATTGTGGACGTCGGGGGGAGAAGAGCAGCAGCAGCAGCTGTAGCATCAGGAGAAGCTTCAACTTCAACAGCAACTCCAGGAAATGCTACCTGCGTCGGTTCCCCCGTACGCCTATCTTCCCTCCCTGAAGCATCCGTCCCTGCCCTCCCTTCCCTGCTCCTTCCGGCCTTCCCGCCCCCTCAACCACCCCCCCTTGCTACACCCCTCCCAGCGCTCCCCTTCCCTCCCCTGACCGTCCCAGGCCATTCCATCCTGAATCCGCCCCTCGGTTCTCAAACCTCTGCCATGACAGTGAGGAGCCAGGGCCTGTCTTTAGCTCAGAATCATCTGGCCAGGAATCATGTGGTCCGAGAGCTAGAGAGGGTATCGGACTCTTGGCAGGCGGCGGATGCGAGAGTGTGTCTAGACCCATGCACCCCATGGCAGGGACGAGTGGGGCTAGAGGTGGCGGCAGCGGCAGCGGCAGCGGCAGCAGCAGCAGCAGCGGCGGCTGCGGCTGAGCCAAACCTTGTGTTTGCAGTGGATGAGGAGGCAGAGTGCAGGAGCAGCAGCAGCAGCAGATCGCATGCCCGTGCTCGTCACACCAATACCACCTCTGTTCCACCTGAAACAGCCTTCTCGTTGCCCCCCTCCTCCCCCTCCCCCTCCCCCGCGTGCTCCCATGGCGATGCTGCTGTCGGGGCGCTCATAAGACTACTGCGGTCAGCGTCAGCCCGTCCGCTCTGCTCCCCTATCCTCCCACCCACGAGTGTCTCCCCCACCTCCTCCCCTCGGTTGCGTCCCACACGCCCAGCGGTGGGTGGAGGGTTGGGGATGGGAGAGGGTTCGGAGGGTGGAGTGGGAGAGGGTGAGAGGGGGGAAGTGGGGGAGGGTGAGAGGGGAGGAGTGGGAGCGTTGTTGGGAGGGATGAAGTTGTACAGGGAAGATAGGCGGAGGCTGATGCGGATGCGAGGGGAGGGGGGGTGGTGAAGGGGAGGTGGGGGGGTGGAGGGAAGGAGGAGAGGTGGTGGTGATTTGATGGAAACCGGCTTGTGTAGAATGGCACCGCGTGGCTTATTCACATCACATGTGTGTAATTCTTGCGCATCGTTCACGCTCCAGATTCGACTGATGAACGCTCTAAAGCATTTCTGTGAAGTGCCTGAGTTTTGTTATGCTGTGGCATGCGAATGAAGGGTAGAGAGACTAGTGGTGGGAGGAGGCAGTGGGAGGAGGCAAAGGTCACAAGTTGCTCGGAGGCTGCTGCAGATTGCTACTTGCCCGATGTACCTCCTTAGTATCTTTGTGTTGGCATACCATGTCTAACTGTACCACATTGTGCATCACTGGCATGCTCATGTATGTTTGCTTAGCGAGTGAGGATGCTGAACCCAAGACTTTGAAGAAACTTCGTTTTGTCGCACCGCTATCACATCACATGCTGCAATGTTGCTCTGCTCTGCTCGAGATACGCCACATTGCAATTGCAAGCATACACACACGGAACCCACTCATATTGAAAGTAACAAAGGTACCAGTTGTGGCCAACCCTCATTCCCCCTAGTCCGCCCTCCTCACAGCACCAGACCAGCAAAACCAGCAGGCAGTCTTCAGAGTGACTCCCAGAGTCACTCCTGGCAGGAGCTTCAGTCCACACTCCTCAGAGCTTCAGTCTACACTCCTCAGAGCTTCAGTCCACATTCCTCAGAGCTTCAGTCCACACTCCTCAGAGCTTCAGTCCACACTCCTCCAGTCCACACTCCTCAGAGCTTCAGTCCTTCCTTGAGCGACTCCAGGATCCCACGCCCTGCCGCCTCCCCGCTCTCCTTCACCCTCTCCCCACCCTCCTTCACTTTCTCCCCTGCACTCTCTGCAGATTCCACCACCCCTTTTCGCGCCTCTTCAACGCCCCTCCCAGCCTTCTCCCCTCCCTGCCTCACCTTCTCCTTCACCGTCTCCCCTGCGCGCTCTGCAGATCCCACCACTCCCTTCCTCGCCTCTTCAACTCCCCTCCCAGCCTTCTCAGCCGCTCGCTCCACTCCCTTCCTGACTCCCTCCTTAACCCTCTCAGCCGCTTTCCCCGCCTCTTCCCTCCCCTTCTCAAGCCCTCTCACCCTCTCCCCCGCTTCCTCCTTCACCTTCTCAATCCCTTCCTTCAGGGTGAGTTTTCTGCGTCCGCCCAATGTCCCCCCCTCGGCGCCCGACGCCCCCTCCTTCGCGCCCACCGACTTTCCCCCCTGTGCGCCCCCCGATCGGCGCAACCCTTCCCCTACGCTCTCCACCTGCCCACGCGCCTGGCGGAGAATCTCCTCCGCCTGCCTCTCAGCCGTGCCAAGCCCCGGCGCCCCCGAGCCTTCCACCTGCTGACTGCCCGTCCCTCCGAGTTCCTCCGCGCGTTTCCCAGCAGCCTCCCGCAGATTCTCCGCCTGTTTCCCCGTCGCCGTGGCCGTTTCTTTCGCCCGATCCGCAGCTCCCTTGTGTGTCTCTTTCACCTTTTCGGACAGTGACTCTCTGGCCTTACTCGCCTGGCGCCCCAAAGCCTCTCCCGCTTCCTCCGCCCCTTCTTTCACCTTCTGCCCGGCGCTTTGGGCAGAGTCGGAAAGTTCATTCAAGGACATGGAGGCAGGGTTGGACGGCAGCTGCTCGTATTCCACTCCCGGCCAGGGAAACTCTGCGGCACAGGCAGCGAGGGGCGAGGTGAAGAGAACGAGCACGGTAACCACACCCGTCGCCACTAGTTTCGCCATCATCTTCGCGAATGTGAGGCGAGAATCGGTTTCAGGAGCATCACCGGTGAAGGAGGCATTGCTCGTGGGAGAGTTTGGCGCAAGTGCCATGGCACGAGGCGCAGCCGCGGCAGTGGTAGCAGCAGCTCCGTTCCCGCCATTGCTTCCAGTAGTGGCAGTCATGCCACGGAAGCCACTGAGATGAATAGGGAGAGCCACCGCGTGACGAAACGATTTGGAGGAGAACGCCGCCGCGGCGCCGCCGGCGGGGGAGCTGGTTCGCCGAGCAGCCATCGCCACGGCCGTGGCACTGCAGCTCCTGCTGGCCGCCCGAAGAGCGGCGGGCGTGGTGATGACACGCTGATGACTCATGGCGGTGGCTGTCGAGGGGATCGGAAGATTCGTGACAGCAGAGGACAGGAGAGCGGCAGACGCCATCCGACAGGATCCAGGCACAGTGGGTGGTGATCACACTCTGGGGTTGACGCAGATGAGGGTTGAAATGCACGAAGATCGATCGACTGGAGAACGAATGGCAGCAGAGCGTGACGATTGAATCGAGCGACCTACGTTATAAATTGTTCCACCAAGAAGCTCCGTCCGCGCTGGCGGCTGGTGGTGGTGCGAGGCCTCGAGAATGGATCCAGTCGAGATTGAATGAGAGATGAAGGTCAAGGTTGTTTCGAGCCTCGAGAAATATATTTTGTTTGTCTACAAATTTGCAACCTCGAAATGAGGGAAGCAAGCGCGATTTCTGCCCAGCCTGGGATCGGCACATGCGCTTGTCGCGCCGCAATGTCGCATGCAATTTCACATTGTGACCGCAATGCTCGGAAACGCCGACGCGTGGCAGGCACTATAGCGCCTCATGTATTGTACAACCTCTATTTTTACGACACCAACTTGCTTTAGCGTATGCCAAACATTCAGGTACAGAATATGTACGGTAAATGGATGTGTGTTCGTTATATACGCTGGAAAACAGAAATACTGGAGGTTTCGTATCACCCTGGTTTCTAAGTGTACATATCTCTGCTAAAAGAACCTGAGGCATAAGTGCACCACCGCCATCGTGGCCTCAAAATCCATCTCCATGGGCATCGAACGGCTGAGATTACTTGTCACCACGAGATCCACGGGGTCATTCACTGAAACCCTCGCCATTTTCGCGTCCCCTACCTCTCAGATCACTTGGTTGACTGCTTCTCGGGAGCTGGAAAGAACCCTGGTTGAGCTGAGGTCAGATCTACTGTACAATCTCCCTCTTGGTTGAGCTGGATCTCATCTCAAATTTCCCTCTGCTCGTCCTAACTCTTTCCACTACATCTCATCAGCAACCAGCGGGTAAAATCCCTCTCCTCTCCAAACCACCAGCGAGCCGCCGTCGTCGTCTCCAGTTTCGCTGTCATCCACGCGGTCGCTTCAAGTCGTCACGCTCACATCCGCGCGTACCAGTCGCGTCATCGCGAAATGGACACCGAGGCGAAGCTGAACATGAGTCTGGAGGAGCTCGCGCAGTCGTCGCGGCGTTCTCCTGGCGGCGGCCTTAGTTCGCGTCGCGCAGGCCGGCGTCCATCGCCGTATTCGCGTGGAGGAGATTTCGGGTCCCGGAGGGGCGGCAGGTGTGAGACCGGGGTAGACTCGTGGGGTTGAGATGCAGTGGATCGCCGTTCTTAACGCCAAGGCGTGCTGTTAGGAAGAGTGGAAGGAACTGAGAGTTGGCAAGGAGCTAGGGGGAAGTTGGTTTGAACCAGATCTGATATGCAAGCTGCCGCTACATATGCGTGTGCGACGTCGTTGGGGTACGGAGAGCGGATCTGGTCCGCGTTCCTTTCTTAGTCGCGGTTGGATTGGAAGCCTAAGCCACGTGGCGCACTCGATGGTTACTTCCCTCCTGCGGTGATGAATCATCTGAAGCCGGCAGCTTGAGTCCATGAGTTTTAATCTCCAGATCCTCAGGAACTCCAGGGCCTTCGGGCTCCTGCTTGTGCGAAAGACGCGATTTCAGGGTGTGGGATCGATGCAGCTTCTGTCGCTTCGCGTTCCGTTGTGTCTCAGTGTGTCTTCTCGTAGCTGCCCTACTGCCGCTCACCTTTACTTTCCTCGTGTTGTTTCGTGCGCGTGTTGCTGTGGTTGAGGGCGGAGGATGGATGGAGGATGGAAGAGGCGGTGGACGGAGAGAGGGAGGGAGGTGAGATGGGGGTGGTGGTGGTGGTGATGTTGGTGGGTGCGGTGTGTGGTGGGAGCCGGGGGGTTAAGAGTGGTGGTGGTGGAAGGGGTGGTGGTGATGTGTTGGAAGGGGTGGAAGGCGCGTGGTGGTGGTCGGTCGTGTGTGGTGGCGGTGGTGGTGGGGGTGGTGATTGGAGGGTGGTGCTGATGGGAAATTGGTGGTGATGGTGTCGATGGGCGGTGATGGGTGGAGGGAGAATGGTGTTGTCGAGGGTGGTTTCTCCTTCTCTCCCCTTCCCCCGCTCTCCTCTCCCTCCCCCTCCCCCCCCGTCTCCCTCTCTCTCCCTTGCTCTGGCGTTCTTCTCGCTCGCCTTGCCGTGGCTCTCGACTCCCGGCTCTCGACTCTGGGCTCTCGGCTGTCGGCTCGTCTCGTCGCGTGGGTCGTCAGCAGCGCGACGATCATCTGCAACAACTGCAAGATGCCCGGCCACATCGCCCGCGAGTGCACCAACCTCGCTGTCTGCAACAACTGCGGCGCCCCTGGGTATGTCAACCCTCTCTCTTACATCCCCGCCTCCCCCACTCCCCCACTCCCCCTCCCCCCCTTTCTTTCTTCTCTGCATCATTTTGTCTTTTTACTTAGCTCCGTTCTGCGGCACTCGTTCTCTGTGTCTTGCTTGCTCGTTTCTCTTTCCCTTCGATCCTTTTCTCCTCACCCTGATTACCTCCGCTTTTTGGGCGTCTCTCCACCCTCATTCATTTCCCGTTTCTTCCCTTCCCTTCCCTCCCCCCCCCCTCCCTCCTCCCCCCCCCCCCGACCCCCTTCTCTCGCCCTCTGCCCCCGTCTTCCGCTCCCTTACCTCTCGCGGCTTCCCCCGTACTCAGCCACATCGCGTCGGCGTGCACGTCGGATATCGTGTGTCGCAACTGCAAGCAGCCGGGGCACATCGCGTCGGAGTGCACCAACGAGGCCGTCTGCCGTAACTGCGGCAAGCCCGGCCACCTCGCCGTCGGCTGCACCGTCGGCGCCGTGCCCAAGTCCCAGGTATCACTTGCGTGCTTCTTGCTTAACTGGCCTTGCCAGTCTAGTCGTCTCTCTGTGGGTTTTCACTAGAGAGTCGTTTTTATTGACTCTGGGTGTACCGACTCTTTTCTTTCCTGGTCGGCGTGATTCCACCTGCAATCTTGGACGTCTGCCACCGCCGCTTGTTGCGCTTAACCGGCAATCTGCTTTTCCTCGTTGCCTGCCCAACCCGCTCGACCTTTTCTTCCTCCTTTCGTCTCAATCTCACACTTCGTCTTTTTGCCCAACCCGTTCTCGTTTCCCTCCACTCCTTTCCCCGAACCCCTCGTCCCCCTTTCCCCCCGCGCGTTTTCCCCTCTTCCGTCGCTTCAGCTGTGCAACAACTGTTTCAAGCCGGGGCACCTGGCGGCTGAGTGCAGCAACGAGATGGCGTGCAACAACTGCCGCCAGACGGGCCACAAGGCGCGCGAGTGCCCCAACGCGCCCGTCTGCAACGTCTGCGGCATCTCGGGCCACTTAGCGCGCAACTGCCCCGCTGGTGGCGGCGTCAGCGGCGGCGGCGGCGGTTTCGGTGGCGGCGGCTTTGGTGGCGGCGGTTTCGGCGGCGGCGGTTATGGTGGTGGCGGGGGAGGAGGAGGCGGAGGCGGAGCAGGGCTGTGCCACACGTGCGGGCTTGCAGGACACTTTGCGCGCAACTGCCCCAACGCGCGTGGCGTTGGCGGGGTGAGTCTACGGAGGTTTGGGGCAGTGGTGGAGGAATAGGGGGATGTAATGGGATGCTCAGTGCTCACGAGGGGAACAGGGGGCGAGGGGTAGCGGGACTGTTTGTGAGTTTTGAGGAATGGGGTGGTTGGTGCCTTTGGGGGGCGACGCGGTAATGAGATTATAGCACATGCTATGAACTACTAAGGCGAGTTTTCTTTCCTGTGGGTATCGTGGTTCACATGCTGCCGTTGCGGCTGCTGCGTGTGGCTTTGGGAGCACTTTCAGGCACAGCAGTAGCTCAACTCTGTTCTTCTCATCTCCTCTTTATCATTACCAGGGATACGGGGGTGGTGGTGGTGGCGGCGGCGGAGGGGGAGCTGATCTGTGCCGCAACTGCCGGCAGCCAGGGCACTACGCGCGGGAGTGCCCGGTGGGCGTCATCTGCCATGTGTGTGGTGGCAGGGGGCACATGGCGGCTGCGTGCCCCTCAGACCCTCGTGCGATGCGCGGTAGAGGTGCTGGCGGGCGCCGCTGACGAGTTAATTGATGTTGTGGGCATGTATGTGGTTGGGAATGTGGGGCGAGGCTGGGGCGAGGGGTTGAGCACGAGACTGGGGACTCGGAAGGGGCTTAAGGGACTTACGTTCTATGCTGCTTTGTGCGCCGTTTGTGGCTGATCTGATGGGTTGAGTGAGACTCGGTGCTGCTTTGGATCTGTGCCTTTTATGCTTTGTGTTGGCATAGAGATTTTCTACTGAAATGAACATCATGACAATGATGATACCATAAACGCTGGGATAGAAGACCCCAATGGAATAGAAGTTTTAGTGGCTTGTATTAGGTGTCTATCTTTGTATGTAAAAGTTTTTGGCTAGATAGACAGCCTCTTCCCAGGTACCGTAATCACCCGGATAGTCGCCCCTAGGGGCGTTTATAGGACTGGTTTGAAACCGTGGGGTGGGGGGGCGCTTAACTGAATAAAAAATACGGTATACGCCCCTGGGCGTTACAAAGGGTATCTAAGCAAATTGATTTTTCTACTTCAAATTGTAGCTTTTGATTTGTTTCATGCGATGGGATCACTTCTAACGAAGATTCTCAAATCCATCGGGCTGAAAGTTCAGTCAGCAATGTGCCAGACTGGAAGCAGACGAATCTGACGTGAATCCTGCTGACGCGAAGTGTCGAAGGGCGCAAATTGCGCTTCTAGCTGGCACAGAGCGAGTATTCTCGCTATTATCCGAACCCGTTCCTACGTTTTTGCACAGTTTTTTACGAAATAATAGAGGGGCGTATATGTTAGAAAGAGAGAATGAACGGACTAGTGTGAGAACATGTACCTGTTGGGGTTGTACTGACTAGAAGCACACTGTTGGGCTGATAAAAGCCCTTAGGATCTTTCCAGAGACTAAGTCCCAGTTGTAAAATGAGACTTGAGTAGTGCAGCGGAAGTTGAGGCAGTTGAACCCTTGTACTAGTATATGAGAACAAGTGATTGATTAAAACCACAGGCTAAAATAGCAAAGGGGGGCTTCAAGTGAGCCCCTCTTGAAGTGGGGGCACTTGTGAAAAAATTGGGTTGCTAGAGCGAAATTGACAGGGAACTTTTTGGGCAACTGGGCAGAAACGAACCCACCATAATCCACACCTGCGGGAGGTTGGGCGAATTCGAAACGCGTGCGACGAGGTCCCCAAATCCACGCGCGACATTTCCGACTGAGAATGAAAGAGATCACTGGGGCGTGTTCTTTTTGTTGATTCAACCCACACGAAGTTTTATGTGTACAGGGTTGGGACGCAACTTGGAGCAAAATGAGCTGCAAACACAGGGCAGGGCGCCAAGCGCGAACACGCTACAACCAGGAGTTGCAAGAGCCCAACTGTACGCGCCAAAAGACCCGAATCCAAAACAGCGTAACTCACCCTATGGAAAATGTTGATAAACACGTATGCAAGTGTATTATTCATAGTATTGGTCATGAGAATAACAACGTTGAGCATGTTAGGAGCAAGGAGTATACGGAAGTACTTATTGTTGTCCTAATTCACTGTAGTATGCAGCATAATAAAACTGACTTTTGACTAAAAACGACTTGCACTTGCACTCCCTTAGCTACCAGACCCAGGTACCCTGAGTTCCAGAACTGCGAAGGACGGGTGCCATTATGGGTTGGAAAAGGGGGGGGTAAAGGATAGGGGGTTAGTGGTGGGTGACGAGTAGAAGCATAGGGCCATGGGAGAGCACCTGAGCAAGGGTGTGAACAATAGGGTTGAAGGGGAAAGTGATTGACAGATGGGGAGAAGGGATGGCAAGACCGGCGACCTAAAGAGGAACCAAAGTCCGGCCATAAGTGTAAGGGGTAGCGGATGGGGGAAAGGCTTGACAGGAGAGAGCAGGGGTACAGCAGAGAGCAGGGGTACAGCAGAGAGCGGGGGGACAGCAGATACCGGGGGGACAGGAGAGAGGGGAAGAACAGCAGAGAGGGGGGGAACGGCAGAGAGCAGGGGAACAGCAGAGAGGGGGGGAACAGCAGAGAGGGGGGGAACAGCAGAGAGCAGGGGAGCAGCAGAGAGGGGGGGAACAGCAGAGAGTAGGGGAGCAGCAGAGAGGGGGGGAACAGCAGAGAGCAGGGGAGCAGCAGAGAGGGGGGGAACAGCAGAGAGCAGGGGAGCAGCGGAGAGGGGGGGAACAGCAGAGAGCAGGGGAGCAGCAGAGAGGGGGGGTACAGCAGAGAGGGGGGGAACAGCAGAGAGCAGGGGAGCAGCAGAGTGGGGAGGAACAGCAGAGAGCAGGGGAGCAGCAGAGAGGGGGGGAACAGCAGAGAGCAAGGGAGCAGCGGAGAGGGGGGGAACAGCAGAGAGCAGGGGAGCAGCAGAGAGGGGGGGAACAGCAGAGAGCAGGGGAGCAGCAGAGAGGGGGGGAACAGCAGAGAGTAGGGGAGCAGCAGAGAGGGGGGGAACAGTAGCAGAGAGGGGGGGAACAGCAGAGAGCAGGGGAGCAGCAGAGAGGGGGGGAACAGCAGAGAGCAGGGGAGCAGCGGAGAGGGGGGGAACAGCAGAGAGCAGGGGAGCAGCAGAGAGGGGGGGTACAGCAGAGAGGGGGGGAACAGCAGAGAGCAGGGGAGCAGCAGAGTGGGGAGGAACAGCAGAGAGCAGGGGAGCAGCAGAGAGGGGGGGAACAGCAGAGAGCAAGGGAGCAGCGGAGAGGGGGGAACAGCAGAGAGCAGGGGAGCAGCAGAGAGGGGGGGAACAGCAGAGAGCAGGGGAGCAGCAGAGAGGGGGGGAACAGCAGAGAGTAGGGGAGCAGCAGAGAGGGGGGGAACAGTAGGGAGTGGAAAGAATGGAAGGAATAGGACGGGGCAGACAAAAAGCCGTACAATCTTGAAACCCAAAGATTAAAACCCTTCCTCCTACTCAGCATTCCCACTCTCCCAGCCTTTTGATCCCCATTTCCTTGCCTTTCGTTCCCCCTCTCCTGGCCTTTTGTTCCCCCTCTCCTGGCCTTTTGTTCCCCCTCTCCTGGCCATTTGTTCCCCCTCTCCTGGCCTTTTGTTCCCCCTCTCCCTGGCCTTTGTTCCCCCTCTCCCTGCCCTTTGTTCCCCCTTTCCCTGCCCTTTGTTCCCCCTTTCCCTGCCCTTTGTTCCCCCTCTACCTCCCTTTGTTGCCCCTCTCCCTGCCCTTTGTTGCCCCTCTTCCTGCCTTCCCCCTTTCCCTGTCCCCTTTCTCCCTGCCCTCCACATTTCCCTGTCCCTTTTCTCCCTGCCTTCCCCATTCCCCTGCCCCTATCTCCCTGCCTTCCTCATTCCGCTCTCCTCTCCCCCTCATTTGCCTCTCCTCCCCCTTTCATTCCACTCGCCTTTTCCCCCCACTCCGCGCTCCTCTCCCCCCCATTCCGCTCTTCTCTCCCCCTCTTTTCCACTCTCCTCTCCCCCTCATTTGGCTCTCCTCTCCCCCTCATTCCGCTCGATCTCCCCCTCATTCCACTTGCTTTCCCCCTTCCACTCTCCTCTCTCCCTCATTCCGTTCTCCTCTCCCTCTCTTTCCCTGGCTCGCCCGCCTCGTTCTCCCAACCGTTCAACCAACCGTTCTCCCAACCGTTTGCCCGACGCCGTGGACTAAGTTCTCGCGCAACTGGCGGGCCACGGCGACGAGCAGTCGAGGGAGGGGCTCACTATGCTTCACGAAAGGGACGCTAACTTCTGGGTGGTCTTGCCCACGTGTTGCTAGCCGTGTTACAAGCACCCGTGGCTTGCTGCCTAATAGTCTACGCGAGCTACGGTTGTCAATAGGGGCGGTTTGGCTCCCTATAATGCTTCCACCCCGTACTGCCGCCGCTACTGCACGAGATGGGGTCTTTTCTCGGTTCTAAAGGGTCATGCGCACGCGGGGGACTACTCCTGCTCGTCCTCGCGCTGGACGATTTTTTAGAGCGTGGAATTTTGGCAGGAGCTGCTCTAAGCTAGCGTAGGTTACGGGGTCTTCTACGTTTGGAAAGCAATAGCACACCTGGGGCTCACTTGAAAGTCTGCCTGGTGGCGGGTTGTCGCAAGGACGTAGTTTTGGTTGAGCATTGCGACCCTTGAGTTTGTCGCGAGGTGCTAAACAGGGGGGTTACGATCCGCTTTGCACCGTCATCCAATCACCTCTCGCTGCAAAATCGCAGCATTCGTTTTTTTGCGTGGGGGTAGGTGTACCACTGGAAAGTGGGCTCTTTCCTCTGACCCTAAAAAAAACAAGATTTTCAAGTGCACCCCCCCTTTGCTATTCTAGCCCGTGGTTTTAAAGAAACAAGCATACAGCAATATATAGGAAATAAGAAAGCAGTTGTAGAATACAGTTGCAGGAGCGGTTATCGAGTCGCACAGGCGACTCGATTGCCGCTTCGGTTACCATCCACGATGTTGTAACTGTCAGTCGCAACCTCCAGTTGCGATCTTTCGAGTTCCTTCGCGTTCTTTGTCTGCCCCCTCGTGTAACCTCCGTTGACTCGCGTACCCCCCCCTGTAATCTTCCTCGAGTGTAGTGTTACACTTCAGAAACGCTTAAGTCCTTTGAGATATTTCCAACACTCCCCTTCGTTTCTGGAGTGCTGGCGTGTTCAGATCCGATGATGTTTGTTTGTCCGGTCAGGAGCATGCAGTAGTCAAATTTTGCCTTCGCCAATTTCTTCGTCAGATAATCTGCGGCCATTTCTGTCGTCGGGCAGTAACTGAGTTGAAGTCTCCCCTTCGCGATTTCATCGTTGACGAAGAAGTACCGCAGGGCAATGTGCTTGGTTCGGTTGGCGAAGCCGTCCTTGTTCGCGATTTTGATCGCAGATTGGTTATCGCAGAGGAGTGAGAAGACGGGCAGGGTCGCAATCTTCGCTTCCTCGAGTAACTCTCGTAGGTAGAGTCCTTCCTTGGTCGCAGTACAAAGGGCGATATACTCTGCTTCAGCCGAAGATAGTGCGATTAGTTCCTGCTTGCTCGAGTGCCAGGAGATAGTCCCGATAGGTTCTAGTCGGTAGATGTAGCCCGTCCTAGATCGTCGATTTTCCTTATCTCCCGCGTGGTCGGCGTCGACGTATCCGAGTAGTTGTATGGACGATGTTGTTGCTTTACTGTAGGTAAGCCCGGTCGTCGGCGTGGAGACGAAGTAGAGTAGTGCCCGATTAAGTTCCTCGAGATCTTCTTGTTCCGGCTGCTTCAGGTGCGTCGCCAGTTGGCTCGCGCTATAAGATAGATCGGGTCGGCAGGTTACTGCTGCGAATAGTAGGCTGCCGAGTTTCTGCTGATACTCCTGAATTTGCTTCGCGGGGAGTTTTGCGGAGGTGCTGCTGTTGTTCCCGTAGC